TAAAAATACATTTTGTTACAATGATGCCAATATTTAGAATAGAATCTTATTTTATAACGGTCATATTATTATCTAACATATTTTGAAAATAGAAACATATTTTGTACACGAAATAAATATCTTTATAACAATATCATTACTATATTATAGTACTTATTATGCATGTATATTTATAATAAATAAATTAAAGTATTATTATGGCAAGTGGTTAGCGCGTCGGACTAGTCATCTATGTATCGCTCGCCGTGTTGGCACAAAGCCAGTTAGGGGCAAGCCGTTATTTTCTTGAGCAAGACACTTAACACTAAATGAATAATAGAATATATCATCCAACTTTCTCCTCATAAACAGAACAGCTAGGTGTCTTCTGTTGGTAGTGTAGATATGTTTTCTGGTGGTAGAGTATTGGATATATAACCACTAGGTGGATCTTCTTATCGCGTTTAATAAAAAAATCAATTAAAAAATAAATTATTTATGTAACAAATTTAGAAATACATGTTTGTTATACATTTTATGAAAAACAACTCTTATTGGTATATACTTATATTTTTTATCATGTAATGGTATCAATGTATAAGGATAAGATATAATTTATATAACCACAGGTGAACCTTATCATCATGCTTTGTCGAAAATATCAATTAAAGAATGATTATTTATAACAATTTTTAAATAAAAACATAACAATTAATATTTTGCAAGTTCTTTAAAGACCATCAATTACATGTTGATTTTAATTATTTTTAAAATTTTAATCATAGTTTGCAATCAAAGAATAATCTAATATCTAATTTCATTTCACAAAACAAACCCTCTATCTGTATATCTGATAATTGATACTATTTGACACCTATTGAAATTCATGTACAATGTACATTTTGTATGTGTACCACAAGATGCTACAGTAGACTTCTTTGTTGGATTTAATCTTATCAATTTAGCCTCGTTTTTCAGAAATCCATATCTAACCCAAAACACAACCAATGCATTTAGCGTCGTTTTCATTTTGAGACTCCAAAGGTCCAGATTGAATTCTTGTATTAATTTTTGTTATTTAATTAACACAGTTCTGTCAAAATGACAACTTTGTTGATGCGATACAATGAGTTCAACAATAGTTATTCCATAAGCTGCAAAATCTATATGAGACTTGGTTAGCGCTAGTCTAGCAAAGATGTGACAGCTTTGTACTGAAAAGAATTCAATATTGTACAGAACAATGACTTCTTGAATTTAATTATTGTTAATTCATGAACACAATTCTGTCAAAATGACAACTTTGTTGATGCGATACAATGAGTTCAACAATAGTAATTCCATAAGCTGCAAAATCTATATCAGACTTTGTTAGCGCTAGTCTAGCAAAGATGTGACAGCTTTGTACTCAAAAGAATTCAATATTGTACAGAACAATGAATTCTTGAATTTAATTATTGTTAATTAATTAACACAGTTCTGTCAAAATGACAACTTTGTTGATGCGATACAATGAGTTCAACAATAGTTATTCCATAAACTGCAAAATCTATATGAGACTTGGTTAGCGCTCGTCTAACAAAGCTGTGACAGCTTTGTACTCAAAAGAATTCAATATTGTGCAGACCAATGAATTCTTGTATCAATTATTGTTAATAAATTAACACAGTTCTGTCAAAATGACAACTTTGTTGATGCGATACAATGAGTTCAACAATAGTTATTCCATAAACTGCAAAATCTATATGAGACTCGGTTAGCGCTCGTCTAACAAAGCTGTGACAGCGTTGTACTCAAAAGAATTCAATATTTTGTCATATCATGATACAAAGGCCATAAACAAAACAAAAAGCTTTCTTTATTATTTGCATATTGGATGATTAGCTAATACCTGTGTTTTATTTTGTCATACCTACAGTTTCGTTTACTAAAATAAAAATTGTAACATGTAGAAATAAATGTACAGCAAATGTCATTATGTTAATTGATACAATATATATGTAGCTTAAATGCTTTCTATAAAGAATTTTACACAAAAAATTCATTAAAAATAGACTAATCAAGTGGCGTGATATGAAAATAAAAGATCTATAAACGGTGAACTTGCATGAAAATTAATATAAGATGGTAAACATATTCTTTCAGATGCATTGTTTTCTTCATCATGAAAACAGAATTATCCTGCTCTTTCTCATGCAATTTAAAGAACTTAAATATATCATTTTCTTATAGTTTTCAAATAGTTATCATAACTACATGTATTATACATGTAGTTAGAATAAATATTTGTAAAAAGATTTATAAAAAATAGAAAAAGATAAAATTATCAAGTTTGCGCCCAAGGTATAAAAAAAATAATTGAAAATGATATTTATTATTGTTTTTGTTGTTTTAAAAGATATTTAAAAATAAATAGATAAAATGTAATAGTGCAGTGACTTATTATTTTAACTGAATAATTGACGTATATTGGAAAAAAAACATGATAGTTAACTCCTATATATATGTACTTTTTTTCAATAGCATTCGTGATTTCATAACAAAAAGCTTGCAAATTACTTAAGCTTATTTCAATTAACATTTCTGAAGTATCAATTATTCCATGACCAGAATCATACATTTAGGGTATACCGTTAAGCTTTTTTTATGATTGTAATTTTTTTAAAAAAAAAACTCATTTTTATATGTATTTAAAGTTTTCATTTTTGTAGAAAATAAAGGGGACTAACTGTTATGATTACCTTTTGCTAAGACTTATTTCAACAGAGTTTATTCCTGTGTTGTAGCAAAACTAATAATGTTATTTCTTTCTATACTATTCTTAAATATCGTTTTCATAACGTTCATTTAACAGTAAAATATTTATCATTAATAAAGTGTCAATAATTTGTAATTATTTTCGCCTGTGGTATATTTTATGAAATCTTTACTGATATTTACCTCAGGTATTTTTTTCTTATACAAGTGAGCAATCATAAAATCAAATATATATTAAATTACTGTAGCCATATATAGTATGTAAATGCCGGTCAAATAGATCTTTGACCTTCTGTTGTTTTGTAGACAAAAACTCTTGAACCTTTATCATATAAGTGTGTAAAAATTTATCAAATGGACATAACCGCTTGAATGTCTTCAGGCGCGAAAGATTTTACAATGTATTTTGTTAAAGAAGCATGCTTTGCAGATGAGCTCAAATATACCTTGAGAAAAATTATTTTAAGAAAAGTAAAAGAATTCAAGACCAAGTTCTAATTCACATGTGTGCAATAAATGACTGATTTGCAGTAGTTATCAGCATATTTCTACCCTGTGACTAACGTAGTACGGGCTTTGGTTCTTTACGTGGTTTGTTTGTGCCGTTTGCAATTTGTTAATTATTTCCTTTGTTCACTTCACACTATTTTACTTTTCATTACGGTCCCATTTTTCATCAATATTAACATGGATCTGGTGGCATGCTGCTTTAATATTGATAATGCACGCTGAATACTTGAAAATTTTAAATTTCACGTAGTCTTTAGTATTTATTCATTTTATATTTATTTAATATTGTTGTTAGTCGTGTCGTGGCTTTGTGAAAAAATGTATGTTAACGACTGTTTATATATAGGTAGTGTCTTTATTCCGGAGGAGTGGTCCAAAATGGTGTCTTTAGTCCGGGTGATTGGTCTAAGTAGGGTTTCTACTGTATAGTTACATGTATATAACAAACTTTATAGGGTTCGATAATCAAAGTAAAGGACATACATTGCAATAAAAATATTAGAATAACATACAAACCAATTTACCTTTACAAAATATTCTTTAAGACTCGGTCACCCGCAATTTGTTAATAATGCAATTATTTCGCTCGTGTGAACAGTCTATATGAAATGTGAAAAAAGTAATTTTCGTCCGTAATACAAAATACAATTCATATTTTGCATGATGGACTGTGGATACAGTCATGTGAGGAAGCTATCGAACCAGCTCTTACATACTGTCGGTTGTTCTACTCATGTCATGTGCCTGTTCGTTCCTGAAATAATGCATGGTAGGACACCTGAGCTATTCTTACACCAGTAAAGATGGAAAGTCTGTCACAAAACCTTTCCTAAACCCGATCAAAATAAAAAAATCTGATGTACTGGAGTATAAAATATATATATCGAGTTCGCTATTAGAATACAGGAAGTTTCTCAGATCATGTCTTGATTGTATGATATTGTGTGACACCATAACTAAAAACCTACTTTTTGTTTAAAAAATATATACGGATTCCTAAACTGTAATTAGAAAGAAACCATCCGTCATCTTACACTGTTAGACAATTTTACGCCAGTTAATTTTTTATACAAACGGCGAGTATTCATTCAAATTTCTGCAGACATACGTTATGACGGAATGCAATTTCAATTATAAGAAGTCGTCGTAAACATAGTATACTTTGTTCAGCCATGCAATAGTATCTATGCAAATGACTGAAGTGTGTATATAAAGTTAGAAATAATCAAATAGAAATGTGACAAATTATTTAAGTAATTTATTTCCACCATTTCTTACGTGGGAACAAAAGTCGATTTTTGATCGAGAGAAAGTTATGATAAACCGGGTCCCGTGTAAGAATGTTCATTGCCTTTTGAAACTAAGGTCGATTGCTCTCGTCTTAAATTTATGGTGCATCAACTATTGTAAGAAAAATTCTGATTTGTAAAGCAACAAAACCCTTTTTGTGATAAAAATCGAAGAAAAACGATGCAAATGCAGAAATAAGTGGATTATGTCAAATAAGGAAATATATATTATAAGTTTAATGTTGAATTCAAACTAATTTATATACTTACCTTTAAATAGTTATAAAACAAAATATTCTAAAAATATTTTCAATTAATTTTGAAATTAAACATTTCTCAAAGATCATTATCGTTTATTGTAGTTGTAAACACAGAATTCTCGAAGAATGTTGAATGTAAACAATTTATGAGGCCATTTTATTGGTTAATTTATTTTGTAATATTCGAACAAGATTTCATTAAATAAATATAATGTAGATTACATAGCTTATTTATTTTTCAAATGTTGAGTCATAAGACAAAATATACAAAAGAGTGCAAATCAAGTACAATCGCTTAAACAAATAATACATCCTTATGTCTAAACGAGTAGTTATTCACTCAAAAGCCAGCTGCATGGCTAACAAATTTGATATGTTGGAACGTTTCCAGCACTTGTGAACGTAAATACATGTATAAGATCCATTTACACCTTCGAGAATTTTCTTGCACATGTCTGCCCTCCGCCATTCAGTGTCTGGAAGTAAAAACAAAGTAATTCTATATACAATGTAGTTTGTTTTTTTAATTATATTTCTTTTATCAGCGCGTGTACTTGCCTCGAACTTAGACTGAATGGGGGCGGGGAAGTACCCACAATCATGTTTGTTGTTTGTTAATACAAGAAAATGTAATTTAACAAAAGTGCTAATAACTTGTTTTACGACGCAGCGCTTGCAAGATGGTCAAATTTCGCTTAACTCCATGTAGGAAGTAAATTTCCTTTAACTTTACGTAGGAAGTATTCAAAGAGCTAACAAAATTAAGATATGTAAAACTTGTACAGTAGTCTCCACATAACTATTGAGGGTGCCGTTGAATACTCAAGATACATATTGCTTATAAAAATACCAAGTAACCTTTTAATATATGTGTATACCTACCATTGTCAATGTATTACCGTCACCTTTTCTGACATGTGAACATTCAAACCCGTCTGCCGTTTGCTTTTCTACAAGACAATCACCGTCTATTGTGAACAAAACCTGAAATGCAGAAGTCTAGGATTTTATTGATTAGAAATAAAAGTTTCTGCAAATAAGAAAATTCAACCGGGAAAATGCCGAGAAAATTTACATAGAGAATTGTATGTAACAGTAATGGTTAAAAATTGAGATTTTTATATATTTATTTTTGCTAAACACATAGTTTATTTATAACAAGAATACACATTTACAATTTGCAAATGTAACTTTATAACACATAAAATGTGTGAAAAAAAGATTAGAAACGAGAACTTATACTTGAATAGGTGTATCATTCAATTCTAAGTGGTTGTAATTATACGAGTTTCAGCTAAAAACTTCACACCTTCTGTGTAATATTCAAAAATCAATCATGCTTAAAAGGAATTAAAAAGTCTGGGTGAGTTTTATTTTTCTTTAAACACACGCAGTCTCTAAAACCAGAATCGAATATGTTTTTATCTTCAACATACCTTAATAGGACGTCCATCAAGTGTGGCGGAATCTTCTTCCTTTCCTATCGTAAAGGACAGTGTTTTCTCACCAGCAGCCGACACAGTGGTCATTGTCCAATTATCTCCATCAGCTTTAAATTCCTGGGTCATGTCCGACCCTGCGGACAAATACTTTAGCGCATTTGCACGTTTGTCTTCGGGAACACCTGCAATCATATTTTATTATATTTATTTCATTTGATACAAAGTATGGAAATTTTAGAATATTACATTTAGTATGTTGTTATCAATATTGACAATATCATATTCATCTAAATTTAGATCCAATATCAATTTTAATAGACTGTACATGTCCAACGTTACAAATATTTCATGATGAAACACTCGGTGTATAAATGTATGCTTTGATAGCTAAAGTTACCATTATTAGTGTGAGGTTTATTTTATACCATTTTTTTTCATACCCATGTTCAGTTTCTTTCATTTTTTCAACAAAACTCACATTTGCTTTTATATGCTTTGTCAAAATTTTTACGGAAATTTGCTTTTTTAAGTTTACTATTTTCAAAAGAGTAAACTTAAGAATAAATCTGTTTTAAGAAATTAGAGCATAAAACATAAAATGTATTATAACCTACCGATTGCTTTCATGTACTCTTCAAAGTTTTCAGAACTTTCAATCTTCCATTTTCCAAGTACACTGGTCATTTTGCCAATACCTTTGCCAATCCCTTTCTTATTCCTTTTTTGATAGATGTTTTGTTTTTTTAATATTTTTCTTTTAAACACGGTCTTTAAATTTTGCCTCTGTTGATAAAAGTTAACACTCTGGAATATATTTTCCTTATAATAAATTTCCTTGTTCTTTTCAAGTACCGACGTAGGAGATAAAGGCAATGATGTACAGAACAAATCACCACGGAATGCGCACTATTCTATTTAATTTCATTATAAGAGGGCTTGTGAAATGATTGTATGTAACACCAGTACGTACACACATTCTTACACGAATGCCAGATGTGAAAATAAAAAATTAAACCACTTCGAATGTTATTAAAGAAATGTTATAAAGTACGAACAAGATGCTTTGCCTATTCTTTAGCGTATAATGTTTATCGACACATTCATAAAACAAACAATTACCCTTTAATTTTATCATTTGTTTTCGAGTAGGAATGATACATTAACCACTTTATTATGCGTACTGTAGTAATTTATTTCCTATTCATCAGTGTCTCTACATAACATCTACATAGAATCTCTCTTTTTTAAAAAAAACGATATTTCCATAGCTTTTATGATTTTATTAAGTTTTATATTTTCTTGTTATGTGTTTGAGTTTGTGTTTCATGAAATGAAATTATCGTCACTTATGCATCATCAGTGAAGAACGTTTCAAACTTTAAACAAACACGAGCAAAACATGATATAAAAATACGTTTTCTAAGCTTTCTTATATTTTTCTCAAATCCATAAAGTCTGACAACTCTATCTATGTCAGCTATTTTTTGTATTTTGGTATTGAAATGTTCTTAAATCTGAATTGACTGTTTCAAATATCAAGCTGGACAAATATATTATACAAATTTCGCAGTTTATAATTATTATAAATTTGATGATTATCAGATGTACAGAAAGTTTGAATTCTTTCCAAGACGATGGATGAATACATTATTATTCTTTCAAACCAGGTGTTGGTAACTCTTGGGTTGTAGTTGTGGAAGTGGGTATCTTTGGCTGACTTAAAAAAACCTATTTTTCTTGCAACTAATTGCAAGTATTCAGTACAATCATTCAGGAAATATTGATAAACAATATCTTTTTTCAGCGGAACGAACAAACGTTATGAATATTCCGTCATTTTATTAAATTACGTTTCATGAACATGCATATCTGTCAGCGATTCATGGTTGTTGAAGGAGAAAGATATATCATTTAAACGCTACGTCTTATTATAAAGCAGTCAGGGTATTTACGCAATGTACAGCAAACTATTATTTAGAATTGCGTTTTTGTTATATGATTACATATAGAACTTAGTTTATGAATGAGTGGGACTGACCTCTATTGGCAAAGGTTTTCACATATTTTCAAAATTCTTCACATATGACAATGCGCGTTTCACATCGCAGAATTTATCATAGCAAAAATTAAACATGCATGTGCTTGATGGTAGCGTTTCAAGAAAAATCTATAACGATATGCGATTGTTTTATATTGTCCTGGTAATTTTTTATATTTCATTCACTGTATATGTAAAAAAAAGATATTGCCGTTTAAAATATCATAATATCGATCATTGGCCTGTATTCAATAAAGTTATATACTGCTATAGGAATCGCATTTAGTGATAAAGAAAATGCATTACCAAATTGATAGACTTCCTTTTTGATAAGAACATATTAAAAAAGTGATATCTGTTTGCATGTGCACGAATATTTTATCTGATTAAATTGATACCCTTGTTGATTATGGACACACGGTTATAGACCGACCAAATAATCATTACTTAAAAGTACTTTAACTTTTGATTCAGTTACATAATTTGGTAACTAAGTTGATGAATATAAAGATAACTGTGCTCATAAGATGAGTTCAAAGTAAAGTAACGTAACGTTCCTAACTTTAACACAACTATACTATTATCTTAAAGTTGTGCAAATAAATCAAAGTCAAAATGTAGATAAAACGGTTACTCAACTTCGCGCTGAATGATACAATATAATTAAATATTATATAATGAGAAACAATGGCAGATATCAAACGAGATAGTGGATGGAGTTTGCTGGTAATGCTATGCGTGGTTTGTTGTCAGGTCGTTCTTAGAGGCATTTGCTTATCAGGTGGAATATTTTATACAGAATTCACGAACACCTTCGGTGGAAAACCCGTGGAAACAACATGACGTTGTTCATTTTCTATCACAATGTGGTTTATTTCATGTTGGTTGTTTTTGTTTTGCTTTGGTTTAGTTATCTTCATTTTTTTATTTTATCTCTAGATTTGTTTTGGGTTATTTATTTATTTATTTATTTATTTATTTATTTTATTTATTTTTTCAATTTTCAGGAAGCAAATTTTGCTGTTCCAATGTATTTTTTCTTCGCTTTTAGACAAAATATATTTTATTTTTAATTTTAAAACGTAGATGATTTTCACACCATGAAAGACAAAGTAAACAAATCCAGAATTAATCGAATCATTTGAAATATAAATACTACATTTCATTTACATTTTAGCACATCTTTACAAACCGCTACGGCTACCGCGTATGCTCTTTTGATGGTGGCATTCTAGTGGCATTATGTCTAACTTTAAGCTTCTTCGCCACAAGTTTAACATACCTTTTCTTCTCATATGGTTTTCTCACAGGTAAAATCTTTTCTTCTTAAACGCATTGTTGTCCTTTATTTCTTACTTGTTTCTAGAAAAGTAAGGACATTTACTTACAGATTAAAACCATTGGTAGTCAATTGTCACATTTTGTATTTATTGGGTCGCGGCCATTTGTAAACGAAAACAAGTAATTCAATTCTTCTATTATATTTGTAATATGAATAATACTTAAAGAATACGTACACGTTAGTTCTGTTTATTTTGAAATCTGCTATCATTCAGGTGTGTAAATGCACTTTCTTATTTATTACTGATTTCAGGTTTGGGCCTAGGTGTAAATTTAATGGATGCATGTCTGCTTTGAACACCTACTTTGACTTATTCAAGACTTAAGTTGCTGGTATTGTATCAGTTGGTCATAATTCGGTCTTGTGATATTTGCTGATTTGATTTCTTCTTTGGATGAACACTTTGGCTGGAAGGGGATGTTCCTTTTTCTAAGCGGAATTACATTAAATATATGCGCGTGTGCAATGGTAATGTTTTCAATACAATCCGGAAATAATAAAAATGTAAATTATAAGAAAACATCCGAAAGGAAATGCATGAATATCTCCATTTTAAGAAAGTCATCGTTTGGTTTTCTTTGTGCAAGTAATGTTTTCATGAGCTTCAGCCAGGGAGTTTATATATATCATATACCTTCTTATCCTAAAGATGTAGGTTAAGACCAAAATGAAATTGGACTTGTACTTATGATTTATGGAATATCAAATATCGTTGGTAAAGTATTTTATATTTTCTAAGGTTACCATCCACAAGGGAATGAAACGTTTGTTTATACTGTATCACTTGCGATAACAGGAATACTTATATGTCTTACTTCGATGTTCCTTACAAGAACCGGTATGCTTGTTTTTACCGGGATGCGTCGGGTTTTTCCTCAGTGTAGCCGGTGCATTGATCAATGCCATTATTCACAGTATTGTTGGATTTAAAAGATTCACATACTGAATCGGGATGTCACTGCCTTTCAAAGTAACCGACAATAGCATTGGAGGGCCAATCGGAGGTAGAGTTTATTTATTTTTTAAGTGCTCTATGAAGTGCTGTGCTTACTACGATCTCAGATCCCACTCAAACCAAACGCTGCTTTTTATGAACTGGCACAAAACATAAGCTGTCATTTCCACTACCGTATGACCACATCTGCGAATATTTCTCGTTTCATAACAAACTTATTAATGAGGAGCTATGCTTAAAATGGTGTAAGGAGACGTTAAATATTTGCATAGTTTCCTACCTTTTCTTATCAGATTTCTAAAATATTTAGAATGTGTTTCATTCATAAGCAGATAGTGCGCCTTCAAATTATGGCAATGTGTCACAGGGTCAGGTATACATTGCCAAGTGCTGTATGTTTTATTATGTTCGTGTCCGAGTTTGTCTTGGTATATTTGTATGTTATTGACCATGTCCCGTATTTTTACGTAGTTATTTCTTTGACTCATATACTCATAGCTCAGACACCATATCAAAATGTGCCGTCACCTATTCATAATAGTATTTTATAACCTTTTCAATTTCTTCGATTAGCTTTTCTCGTTAATTTTTCAAAGTCCACGGTCATTTGCACAACGCATGCGCACTTAAATTGAGAAAATGTTGGCACAGGCCCTGGTAATGTTGTGGTGAAGGATAAATATTTTGAGCAGCGCAAACCTGTCTTTTTACAGACCCTTTAACCTAGGTCCAGAACTCACAGCAGAGTCAACGAACCCCTTTGTTACGTTTGTGCTGCGACAATTGTATGTGAAATCATGCTTTACAATCATATTTATCTATTTATGTTGCTAGCTGAACGTTGACATATAATGTATTACTAAAATTTAGTGTATACGCTTCTGTTGTATATCTGCCGGAGGGAGTATTTTTATTTCTTGTATAGGTTAGTTGCAGATGAGCATTACCCTGTATACTATCAAAATATCTTTAATGCTGAGCGTTTATATCTTACCAATACCAATATCAATAATCAAAGCACTGAATGTACTGATGGGGAGGCTATGAGAGAATGTTTCAGACTTATAGTTTCTTTTCTTTTTGCTTAAAATATGCTACCAAAATAAAAAGATATGCACATTGCGCTATTTATCCTTACTGTTGTGTTCAACCATTCATATATATGGTTAATGAGGTTGACTATTCATTTTGTTAATATTCCAGAACATTTAATTAAGGTCTACATTCGGACTGTTAATCATGCAAATTTTGAAAAACCTAAACTGTCAATAATAAATGACATACCAGCAAGTATGACGACTGTTCATTATCAGATAACAATAACATTTTACAACTGACGGTTCCTTATCAAAATATTCTAGGACTGTTCATCATAAATATTTTATGTCATTTTAATATTATTGAATGATAATAACAACTGCAAGTGATGCAACATTTTTTATTGAACATAAAAATTATACACGTTTAGATGTACCATAATTGAGATCAATAAGATACTGTCTTGTGATGAGTATTAATTAACATTCATGCTCTACGGACAGAAGGTTGTCTTCTTCAGAAGCAAATCTCGAATAAAATCACGTTTCAGAAAATTAATCCCATTTC